CCTGGTTTTGGTATCAGGGTTATGTTGGCTTCCTAGAATGAGTTTGGGAGTATTCCATCCTTTTCTAAGGTCCATAAAGTTTTCTTGGCTAATTTCAGAAGCACATCGCAGGCCTTTCTTCCTAGTCCGTTTCAGTCTGGAAGTTCCACTGAAACTTGTCCACTATGTGTGACTCTGCTGGTATTTGAAATACTGGTGGCATAGTTTCCAGCATCAGAGCAACACACAAACCATCACAGTGTGACAAGCTGACAGATGGGTGGCAATGATAACCAGTTGCTGTTGAGTCAATTTCAACTCATGGCAACCCCACGTGTGTCAGAGTAGAACAGCGCTCCATACGGTTTTCAGTGGTTAAATTTTCAGAAGTAGATTGCCAGGTCTTTCTTCCAAGGTGCCTCTGGATGGAGTTAAACCTCCATCTTTTCCATTAGCAGCCAAGTGCGTTAACCGTTTACACAACCCAGGGACTCTAGTAATAATAATACTGAGATGTTATTTGCCTTTTTTTTTTTTTACTGTATTGACATTTATACTGATAAAGCAAGAAGATAATAAAAACAGTGGTACCAAATTGTAGCAGTAGTCATTGTATTCCTCACTGTCACACAGTTGTAATTTAAAAAAAAAAAAAGCATTTTCAATTAAGAACATCCTTGATGAAGCAGTAAAAATTATTACTTTTATTAAATATTGGCCCTAGAGCACACGTTGAGTATGTCTTTTAAATATTTTGTGTGAAGAAATGGGACGTATAAATAAACAGAACTTCTGCATACCCAAGTAATGGATGTCTCATGGCTGTTCCAAGAAAAAGCACGTGTGTAATTAAGCTGGGAGATGAACAACCCTTTGTTTTTGTCTCTTTTTTTCCTTAAATGAAATGCCATTTCCCTTGAAAGAATGTCTGACAGACTGGGCCATGTGGCAGATATTTACTAAAAAATGAAAGGAATGAGATTGTCTTCTCTTCAAGGAAAACAACAGACAGTATTAGTTGCCAAAGATAAAATTTGAATTTCAAATGAAAATGAGAATTTTGGAAAACTTGTATTAGCCACTGTGAGACTGACAGCTTCCCAATACTTAAAAGACTGATGAAATCAGTGATGATATCAAAAAGTTTTAGTGTTTTGATATTAAACAATGAAATGTGTCAACATTTGAAGGTTTGCATAACTCAATAATCAGTGTTTGCAAATGACCATATGCATGATTTTACACAATTGTAACAATAAGTATCCAAAGTGCAAGATATGCCAATGATTATAATGTAACAGAGCACAAAGCTCATTGATATTGTCTTAGTCATCTAGTACTGCTATAACAGAAATACCACAAGTGGATGGTTTTAATGAAGAGAAGTTAATTTCCTTACAGTAAAGTAGGCTAAAAGTCCAAATTCAGGGTGTCAGCTCCAGGGGAAGGCTTTCTCTCTCTCGGCCTTCTGATCAGTGTTCCCC